TCAGCTACGATGGACACACTTCAAGTGCTGATCAGCAAACTGTGTGAGTGCGGCCAGACTGGCCAGCGCAGGCTACACGGCTGCAGCTCAAACAGCACAGCTGCAGCTCAACCAACACAGCTGCAGCTCAAACAGCACAGCTGCAGGCCAAGCAGGCCAGTCTCTCTGCACATGGAAACAGTCTGAGCAAGCAGGAGATGGGGAAAACGGGCACTGCCCTCGTGAGAACAAAGGACCCACAACAGGAACCCTGCACTCACTCCCTGCCAAAGACACCAACAGCCCATGACACAGCCTCAGAAAACGGAGAGGCATTCAAGAACCTAGAAAAGCACCTCTGAAAAATGCTCACTTTAAAACTTTGCATGTAACTTTACATTTTAATTACAAAGTTGTTAACATCCACTTTCTCATTTATTCTTAATGAACTCTGTGAAAGTAAACACAGCTTTTATTCTTATTCCTATAGTTACTGAGTTGGAAGTTCACCTATGTGAACAAGTTGTTCCAACTGAAATTTTCTGAGAACAAATCCCAAGATCTTTCCCTTAACAGAAACTATATTAAGTTGAGTTCACTAATTTCCATTGGTTAAAGACCAGAATGTGTGAAATATGCATTATCAGATTAGAAAAACAAAATAAACATCACAAAAATGCTTTTCAAAATAGCATTTACTAAAATCCATGATAGAAACTAGCTCTAAAAACTTCCCGTTTCAAAATTTCACTGTGTCCACTAAGTTCGTTTTTCTGGCTGTGGACAGCAGGGCCACCCCACACCACAGACCCACCACGGCCCCATGACCAGGCCGGCTGAGAGCTGCGGCCACTTCCCAGGGCTCCCTGCTCTGTGCTCGGCCGCCTGATCCAACCTGCCAGTTCTTTGTTTTCTCTATGTGTAGAAACTAAAACCAGAGCCTAAGTTTACAAAAAGCAGATTTTTATTAAATAAGAGGTACAAATGTGTTTCATTTTCTAATAAATCTCTTTCACAAATCATCTTGCTTTTCCGCTCTTCTTGAGTGATCCTTTTTACACAACACTGTCTGACCGTTTTGGCTTCTGCCAAGGTTAGCCTCTGTTCACAGGCTGAGTCTGACTTCTTCCCACCTCCTCCTAGTCTGGCCTTACAAAACAATGCTCATCATTCTTTCACACTGACTTTAATTTTGAAAAGAAAAGTTATCTTACATAGTAGTACGTATAACTCTGTAATATGTAAAGTGAGGCAATGATAGAACCAGTTTTAAAAATAACCTTCCCATGATGATTTTCATTTGCATCCACCTGCTTATTACTAAGAATCTTTTCACATGTGTACTGCACACCCCAATTTATCTTCTGTGAAAAACTTTTGAGTATCATCATACCCTCCAACTTCTCCTCTTACCTACGTTGAAAAGGGTCTGCTCTTTATCCTAACGTCTGTACTAGGTAATTTTCAGAATATCGCTTCAATCACCAATTTTTGAGATTCTTGTGCTGGATTTCATTATCTTAATATGAAAAAAACAATCACTCATTAAAATACAATAAAGGCCAGGCACAGTGGCTAACGCCTGTAATCCCAACACTCTGAGAGGCCAAAACAGATGGATCACCTGAGGTCAGGAGTTTGAGACCAGCCTGACCAATATGGTGAAACCCCGTCTCTACTAAAAATACAAAAATCAGCCAGGTGTGGTTGCGGACGCCTGTAGTCCCAGCTACTCAGGAGGCTGAGGCAGGAGAATCGCTTGAACTCAGGCAGTGGTGGTTGCAGTGAGCCAAGATTGTGACACCGCACTCCAGCCTGGGCGATAGAGTGAGACTCCATCTCAAAAAAAAAAAAAAAATTAACAAGTAAATAAATAAGCCAGGCGTGGTGGCTCATGCCTGTAATCCCAACACTTTGGGAGGCCAAGGTGGGCGGATCACCTGAGCTCGGGAGTTCAAGACCAGTCTCACCACCATAAAGAAACTCCGTCTCTACTAAAACTACAAAGTTAGCTGGGCATGGTGGCACATGCCTGTAATCCCAGCTGCTTGACAGGCTGAGGCAGGAGAATCACTTGAACTCGGGAAGTGGAGGTTGCGGTGAGCCAAGATCGTGCCATTGCACTCAGCCTGGGCAACAAGAGCGAAACGCAGTCTCAAAAAAAAAAAAAGAAAAAGTAAATAAATAAAATACAATACAATACTGCTAATACGATTTACCTAAGAAGCTGTTGTATGAGCTGAACCAGAGGCAAACACTGTTTGCCAGAAGACTCACAGATCCCCGTATTAATAAGGTCTTTATCCAACGGAGTCCTGCTTCTGTGAAACGTTGAGGCATTCGCTTCCTGTTCATCAATTTCTTTTTCCTTCTGTGCTTCTTTTTTGGCTTCAATATCCTGTAATTTGTAAACAAAAATTGTTTACAAGTGATCTCATTAGCAGGTGTGAAGGCACACAGGCTGGCTGAGCCCTGACCCCAGTGCCAAGCTATCCCAGCCTCTGTGTGCCACCGCACACACCTACCCACAGGACCCCACCTGCCCTGTTGAAAACCCCAACTCAGCTGTGCAGTTTCAAACAGTGTCTTCTTTTTACAGATCCAAGGTCCAGGCTGCCTCTGCTGACGCTCTCCAGGCTCCTTCTGTGAAGTCCCTAAAATCTTTAACCCTTCTACTGGCTCTCACAAACACCCATGTGATCCGCCCCACACACACAGCATCCAGCTGCTTTGTGAGGATAAGAAGCAGCTGTAATTCTCACACACACTGGTTCAAATGTAAATGGCAAAGCCACTCTGGGAAACTATGAACACACACGGACCCCAAGACCTAACAAATTACACTCCAAGTGTTTACCCGAAGGGAGAACATATGCTCACTGAAGTACTTGTACACAACACAATCATGGCAGCTCTACGCGGCCAAAAACCAGAGAGCCTGGGCACGGTGGCTCACGCTTGTATCCCCAACACTATGGAAGGCCAAGGTGGGGGGATCACTTGAGCCCAGGAGTTCGAGACCAGCCTGGGCAACACACTGAAACCTTGTCTCTACAAAAAAATCAAAAAACTAGCCGGGCATGGTGACACGCTGTGGTCCCAGGAGGACAAGGCTGCCGTGAGCCAACATCAGGTCACTGCATCCAGCCTGGGCAACAGAGCGAGACTCCGTTTCAGGAAAAAAAAAAAAAAAAAAGAATACAAAAACCAAAAGCAATTACATGTCCTTCAGTAGAAGAATGAACTAACAACCAGCACTGCACCTATAAAATGGAAAACTTCCCAATAATAAAAACCAAGTCACAAGACACACAAACAGTGTGAGTGAATCTGAAAATCCTTCTCCACGGCAACACAGGAAAGAGCGCAGCCTCTGCAGCTACATTGCTGCAACACTCAGAGCAGGGAAATGAATCTCCTCTGAGGGCAGGGGAGCGTCCTGGCTGAGAGTGCCAAGGGGCACAGGGATCTTTCCGGGTGACGGGAATGGTCTACATGATGGACAAGTTACCTGTTAACTTCACTGAAACAGACAACATGCAGGATTTCATCACAATTAAATCATATCTCAATAATTGTTTAAATTAGCACATAAAATAATTTAAAAAATACTCGAATATGATACAAGTTTAGTTTTATTGTTTTCAGTTATTTTTCACACGTGTGAATGTGGTATTTCCGATCTCAGAGCACCACTAGGTCACGTGTGCCTCCAAGGCCATACCTGGATCTCTGCAGTAATGGCTGCGTGTAAGGCTGACTCCAACCCTCCATCAGCCATCAAGCTGCCCACCAGAAGATCAATCATGAATCGACGACCTGGACTTATGTTCACATCATTGCCTGAAACTGAAATAGAAAGTGTGTGCCAATTTGAGTGAAATGCCATCCCCTCCCAGCACCCTGACCCATGCCCTCTCCTGTTCCTTCCCCAAGCCCACCTGCGCAGGGCAGGAGAGCAGAGAGTGCCCGGGCCCGCTCCTCGGCGGTGGGCAGCAGCACGGACCAGCCGCTCTGCAGCACGGACTGGGCGGCCGACTGCACGGTGCTCAGCACGCCGCGCTGCTGGCCAGGGTCACCACCGTCTGCTTCAGGCTGTTCAGGAGGACGCTGCCCAGACCTAAACCAAGCAATTCCGGGTCAACCTGGTGACTAATGGCAGCATGCAACTGAAAGGAGAAAACAATTTTCACTTAGAACCCCTAAAAATGAATGAATTTCAAAGTCTTATTAAACACTGAATAAAACTCAATTGTATAAACTCAAAAGTATAAATAGACAAAATAACTTCTCAGTTTACGTATTTTGAAAAACTAGACTAAAAATCTCTTACCCACAATGCTTGAAGTGTTTTCTAGAGGAATTTTTTAAACCCCACTGTGAACATGTATATGGAAACCTCACCAGCAGGCTCAGGAAGTGGACTCAGAGCCGGGGGCGCAAACGCCAAAGGCCTCCTGCCCGCTGGAAGAAGGCACAGTGCTGACCTCTGGCAAGGAGAGTGAGGAGCAGCCTCACTTTTCCTCTGCATCTGTCCTTCCTGTTGAATTCCCTTACATTTAAAAACCTTAACAACAATGCATAGAACCCAAGACCAGAGTTCATGTTTTTCCTTACACACAAATGATTCCTATTCAAAGTTTTTTACACTAAAAACATCAGTTACAGGACTAAACAATTTGATCTTGAGTAGTTGTTTACTCCCACATTATCTATAAGACTTCAAACCAAGTGCCACTCTGCACTCAGAACAGCAGCTCCTAATCATCACAGAGGGACACACAATGTCAGTGCTCAACCCTCCACGAATGACTGATGGCCAAATCTCTAAGCATCCTCCCTCGTCCGTCTCATTTAGTATCACAGCTTCCTGGGTCTAGTCAGAGTATCATAAATCGAATCACCAGAAAAGCTGAGAACCCAGACCCGGAATCACAGCACCGAGAGCCCGCTGAAAACAGGCGAGAAACCAACCTACTAGGCCTCTTAGCTCTAAAGCAAGGGTGGTAAGAACCAGCCTCCAGCAGGCCAGCTGTCTGCGTGCAGAAGGCAAGAAAGGAAAGAACTCACCCGGTCACGACAGACCTGAGGAACCTGGTCGCTCTCTCCACCACCTCCAGCCACACAGAGGACACGGTGCTCTCGTCGAAGAGCGAGGCCTCGGGAAGTGCTCGCAGGGCATCCAGGGACTCCTGCAACAGCTCACTGCAGAGGTCCGCATCCTCGCCTGGGCGCACACACGCGTCCGAGGAGCCCCCCCTACTCCCCTCTCCCGCTGGGCTTCCCAGCCCTCAGCGAGAGAAGATGCCACTGTCCCCTTTCTAATCCCTCACTCAACAGGCCAAAATCTAGCACAGCTATTCCAGTCAATTCTGTGTTTCATGGCTGTCACATGAGCCTACACTAACTTCTTGTTCTTCTAGAATTAAGTCCGTACTCAGATGTTCCATGGTAGTGGCTGGCGTGGGGTGGGGGGTGCATGCACTTGCTCTTTTTTTTTCTCTAAAGCACAGACATGAAAAGCCAAACAGCCTCTGCAGCCTCTCATCTCACAAGCAAGAAAACTGAGGCGCAGAGAGCACATGGGATCAGCCGAAGGGCACACGGTGGCTGAACCGAGCTCGAAACCCAGACTGTTGGTGTGTTAGGGAAGCAGAACCACGCGCCACACCGGGGACCGTACCTGATCGCCAGGCCCTGCGCAGGAAGGCAAAGGCGAAAGACAGCGCCGCTCGGGATCCCACTCTGGCGAGCCCCTCCACGCCTTTGCCCGCAGGCCGGGAACTGCAGACGACACATACGGAACATATAACCAGTCAGCAGCGGAGGGTGCAGATACTACATAAAATCAATACCATGAAAGGGTGTGTACCAAAATCCAACCAATGGTTTTCCTCACATGACAGGATCACAAGTGCATTTTTAGTTTTGTTGTTTAACAACTTTCATCAAACGTCTTTTGTAAAGGAAAAGTTTTCTCTTTAAGAATCAAAGAAATGTACAAGGAATTTTAAACGTCTTGGGAAAAGGCTCATGAAATGACCTCACAAAGTGAGAGTCTAATGGGAGGAAGCAGACAATAAGCAGATAAATACATAAACGGAGGAAGAATAAAACCCACAGGAGAGACCAGGCCAGAGAGGAGCTGGAAGAAGAGCAGCAGAGCCGCACGGGGCAGCCTGGCTCGCCCCAGCTCCAGCGTCCTCCACTCAGGGTCTGCTCCTGGCTGAGGGTGAAGCCCTGTGTGCCTAACCCACCCCGTGAGGAGTCGTCCTCTTCTAAGGGAAGTGCTCATCACCCTCCTGTGTCTTTTAAAGCTTTTCACTACTTGTGTATGTTAATTTCACAAGTCAGTTTCATTCTGCATGTTATAAAAGGTTATGCAAATGGCTCACCATAAAAATCATCCTGTACAAGACAGAAAAGGCTAGAATACAAAAATGAACATATAATCTCAACTCAATCATGCACAACAAGTAATTATATTTTTTACTTTATACAATATCATATTTGTAACATATATATATTATAGTATTGCTACTATAAACTATATTCTCCAAATTTACTAAAATTTGCTTTACAATCAGGGGAAATCCTATAAAAACAGGTAATATGGAGTTCAAGACCAGCCTGGCCAACATGATGAAACCTTGTCTCCACTAAAAACACAAAAATTTGCCAGGTGTGGTGGTGGCGTGCCTGTAATCCCAGATACTCAGAGGCTGAGGCAGGAGAATCACTTGAAACTGGGAGATGGAGGTTGCAGTGAGCCAAGATCACTGCACTCCAGCCTGGGAGGCAGAGCAAGACTCCATCTCAAAAACAAAACAAAACAAGCAAACAAACAAAAAACAAAAAAAGGATGTTACAGAAGGATCTCCCCAAGATACAATGTGTGATAAAAATGGCAATGAAGAACACAGCTGGCTGGGGCATCAGTACATGCTTATCCACAAGTGCCTGAATAATGCACCGGGAGCTGAGAGAGGAAACACAAGAACCTCTGAGAAGGGCACTGGGTACCTGGAAGACGGAAATCTTTGCTCCTAAATGAGAATTATGAACACGACAAGACACAGACATGTAACAGGACACACAGTCCTTATATAAAAAAGCACATGGGTCAAGTGTCGTCAGAGGAGGTGGGCAAGTCACTTTAGGTCAGGAGTTGGAGACCAGCTTGGCCAGCATGGCAAAACCCCATCTCTACTAAAAATACAAAAATTAGCCAGGTGTGGTGGTGCACGCCTGGAGTCCCAGCTGCTTGGGAGGCTGAGGCAGAATTGCTTGAACCTGGGAGGAGGTGGAGGTTGCAGTGAGCCAAGATTGCACCACTGCATTCCAGCCTGGCCTGGGTGAAAACATGAGACTCAAAAACAAAACAAAACAAAACAAAAAAAACTACTCAGCAATAATGATACATGAAACGACTCCCTTGGGAAAATGTCAAGGGGATTATGCTGAGTGAAAAAAACTCAATCTTGCTTGAGGCCACGAGTTCAAGACAAGCCTGGGAACCATAACAAGATCCCAGTCACTACAAATACAAAATTAGCTGGGTGTGGTGTCGTGCATCTGTGGTCCCAGCTACTCAGGAAGCTGAAATGAGAGGACGGCTTGGGCCCAGGAGTTTGAGGCTTCAGTGAGCTATGATTGTATCACTGCACTCCAGCTTGGGCATCAGGGTGAGACCCCGTCTCCAAAAATTACAATAATAACAATAATACAAAATTAAAAAGCCAATGTCAAAAAAATCACATAATAGACACAGAGAACAGATGAGTGGTTGCCAGCAGTTAAGGTAGAGAGAATACGTGAACGTGGGTATAAACGGCCCTTGTCCATGTGCCCTGATTGCAGTGGTGGTCTCAGAAAATTCGCGCCTGAAAAAACTGCAAAGAAATACACAATTGAGAGCATGTAAAACTGGGAAAACCTGAAGAAGACAGGCAGACTATCAGAGTTAACACCCTAGTTGTGATGGCTGTGTTGTAGTTTGCAACTAGCTACCAGCGAAGGCAAAGGCGCGAACAATAAAAGGAATCTCTATGCTGTTTCTTACAACTGTATGTGAATCCACAATTACCTCAAAAAAAAAGGCTTTTTAAAAATTTTAGGAGTTCTTCCACTTAATGAAAGATACATTCCAATTAATCCACCAACCCTATGTCATCACAAAGGAAACAGCAGAGAAAAATCAGCTGGGCTCTCAGCCATTTCTGCAGCTGAGGGAACTCAGTTTGATTCGACACACAACAGTGTTTGGACAATCTGAGCACCTACCGCCCACCCATACATGACACTCTGATTCACGACCATCACAGCCGGTCAGGAAGGAAGGAAAGAACCACGGCACTCCTATT